CAGAACACTGCCCTTGTCACAGTAGCGAGGGCTTGGAGTTCCCGCTGTGACGCCTTGAGAAAGCCGGCTTGCTGTTTGTTGATTCTTTTGACGGCGCGCAGTTTAGGTGGAAGGGCACCATACGTTCGCGCACTTCCTTATAGACCTCTCCGAATGCACCCTCTCCAACAGTTGAATCGGACGCCATTTTTCAAAAGCGCCTCCGAGAATTGCATGGTGACGGAACTTTTCGTTCGGACGGTGTTCATCGGAAGCACTTCCAATTCTCCAATCCTTTAGAGGGGCCCCCAGAAAGCTTTTCATGGTTTCTGAAGAGATATTCCCTTCTGGGCTGTGCCGACGAAGGTTGTTGTTTGCCGCGTGGGATTTTGGGGGGGTGAGGGATACTATCCGTTTTGAGGCCGCGTGGTTGCTGTTTGACTCACGCGACTCAATTGCGACTGTTTGTTTCTTTTGCGGTTTCTAGAAAGCCACCTGAATGGTCAGAACCTCGTCCAAAAGCAGATACCTTACAAGACAGTGGTTCTCTTACTTCGAAAGTGACAAGGTAGAAAGACGACGACAGAAAGATACGAGTGATTTTTAGGAGTAACGGAGGAAGAGCAACGAAAACCAAGGCAGCCCAGCAATACTGAAAGAGAGTGCTGGTGAGTGGGAAACACAGTGAATGGGCGCCAAGACACGCTTGACAAGAATACACTGTATACTGTCTAGTGAATACACCTTTGTTGTACACTGCTTGGTCGCTGAAAGCTCGATGTGAAAGTAAATCAGCTGGGCCTCAGATAAGAGGTAGCAAGTGGAAAGATTCATAGAAAAAAATACTCGATTGGAGGTTTGTAGGGTCGAGAGGGGAAAACATGCCAGGCCCAGCTAAATAGTCGACTTTGCAGATGGAACGCTTGGGTGGAGAGCACCTTCCGAATGCCACAAGCCAGGTGTGCTTGCATTTACCTAGGTAAGGGAAGCATGACGGGGTTTTTCAAGCGTGCGAAGAGGGTGGTTGTGTCTTCGATAGCGGGGTGAGGATGGGTCGGTCTTTTGCCGGTTGGCGTTTGTTTGGTTATCAAGTGTCTCTCTTACTACACCGCCTTTATTCATTAGCTTTCTATCTCTTACCATCTCTCCATGTCCAGAAACTAGGTAGGTACATCTACCCAATCCCGCGCATAGTATGTCAAGACTCACCCAAAAAAACATCATTCTACACCCCTCTCAACCTCCAAAACAGCATCTGATACGCCTTGTAATATTTCGGCTTATGCACCTCGCTGTTTTCCAGATTGCGGGCGGTTTTGGTGAGGTGTGTGATGTTCTCTTTTGCCCATTTTCGGAATGCTTGGTTGGTTGTTTTCAGCTTGGAGTGTTGTGCCAGATCAAGGTCATGGTTTTTGAGCGTTTCTAGGAGGAAGCGCTCGGTTTCGAAGAGGAAGATGAAGAGGGGGTAGATGGGGTTTGTGGGGGTTTGTTGGGACATTGTTGAAGTGTGGCTTATTTTTTGTAGGGACGGGAGTGTAGATGCTGGGGAGGCAAGGAGTTGATCTAACGACCTTTTATCCTTCTTCTACTAACGTAGGGCTTAGTTCCTTCGAGTCCTTCAATAGGCAAAATGAAGTTGGCTGACGGGGTATGTGTCAGGTCTTGACTTGAAGTAAACTAGGCGCAGTGACTGTTACCATTTGTGCCAGACACTTGACGAAATTCAGCTAGGGAAATGTCAAACTTCGATGACAGGATAAAAGAACGAGATTGGGACACGGATGGAATCAAATCACATATGACTGTCCATCCAGTGGTTTGGGTTTTAGCTAGAGCTCAAACGGCGGCTAGGTACACAACCGGAGTGCCCATCTTTGCTTTTTAATCGAACCCTTCTTTGACAATCGGACGAAAGGCACGAATATCACCGGAACAAAGTATGGGGAGTTAAGACCGTCAATTGTGGCTCAGCCAGCTAAGCAAAAGCAGCAAAAATCCTGTTCTAACGTCCTATTTCCTCCTGAGACTTGCCTGCAGGCCTCTTTCCAAATGACTCGTAGATTTGACCATGACCAGTATCCCTGTGTATATCCAGAATACACTCCAAGTAGAAACTCCGTTCTTCACAGTCGAAAAATTTCCGTCCAGCACTATACCCCCTCATCACAGTTGTGATTTGAGTGCTATAGCTGGAAACAAGGTAAAGCTTTACGCTCCGCTGAAGTCGGATTTGCTGCTAGATGCTGAGAGATAAAAACTTCTCTCGTTAACGTCTTGCGGAATGCCCGTCTGTGCAGCGTCGATGTTTGTCTCTTGCTGTGGCTGCGCCTGTGTTGCTGCGGTAGAACTTTGTCGTGAAGCTTCTTCGTCCGCAACTTTCTTATAATCTTCCACCTTATCCTGGAGTCTTTTCAGGTTATTGCCGATCTTGACAAGCGCAGCATTGATCGTTTTTCTGAGCGAAGCTAGTTGTCCGTCCTGAAATGAAGTTTTTGTCAGGAGAGAAGGTCTTATGTAAGTGTATATCATAAGGGTTATACTGACATCAAGCTTCATTTTTGTGCTCTTCTCAACGTCAATCATTACGCTCTCTGCCTCATCAAACACTGTTCATAAATCTCTGATGAGCCATAAGCGTAAAGTGACCGAGACTATGTGACATGAATGGGATATACCTCTACTCACCAATACACGCCTGGGTATGCGTTTGCGCAAGAAGCCGTACCTCTTCCAAAAATGTATCTGGCTTCTTGAGGTACTGCACAAAATCACCCTCTTCCTTGAAAGGAAAATGTTCATCGTCCACGCACTTCCGGAGGTCTTCCGATAAAACCAGCATGTTTTTCTCATAATTTGCATGATTTTCGCCTTCTATTTGATCAATAAGGGTCCAGGATTCATTCAACCTCCCATCAATCCTTCTCCACATGTCCATGACGGTCTTCTCAGCCACCAGGAATTACTCCTCCATCGTGAGTTCGACACTGTTCGCCATCGTAGGTGTGTATATGGCGATAAGGGATAGCGTGAACGGTATGGCTGACAGTCCGAATATCGGAAATAATCGCAATTGAAACTGTATCGAGTTGAAGAGAAGACGTGATCGCTGATAAGGACACAAACTCGCCATCTTTCCGCCGATGGTTCATCAGTCTTATAGCCATTTTCACCTCGTCTGCCTTCGTACGCCTTCACCCATAACCCAGAGTCTCATGAGAAAATCAACCCATGTTGCTAGACGCGCGCTATTATCCCCAAAGAAGTAAAGATATAGCACATCCACCAACGCGCTCAATGCCAGGGGAGGACATAAAGGACAAGAGCGAGATGCCCAACTTTCCAACACAGACATTGTATGGACATCTTCGAGCATGGGCGCTGTACGTCAAATACCACAGAACCCAACAAGGGGCGCAGAGGAACACGGAGGACCAAAGTGTGCACTTGGACATGACTTTCCCAACAGTCTTCGTTGAGGTTTGGAGACGAATCGCGCACCCAACAGGGCGAGCAATCTCCCCAATGGGCACTCACTGTAGACGCTGAAGGGGAAAAGTTAAAGTTGGACACCTAGGCACGTGCCAGAAAGCCGGAAGCTCATAATGATAAAGAAAACCACCAACGCCAGAGCGATGCACAAACACGATGACTACCATGCTCATGTGAACGACATGAACAACTGCACCAAACTGATGGAGTACAATCCAAGTTCAAGTCACCTCGCCAGGCCGGATATCCAACAGAGGAGTGGTACGGAACTTGGCGCGCTTCCTGCCAGCACCAACACGACCAGCACCAACACGACCAGCACCAACACAACAACTCAAGCATACCAACAAAGCGCCAGGGATTGGCTTTGGCAGTCCCGTCGAAAACAGCGAACATCAAACAGAAAGCAGAGCCAACACCATAATCCATTACGCAAAATTTGGGGGGCGGTTACTACCGAAAAAGGAAAGAAAGTTGTGCGCTTGATCTGGCTGATTCAAGAACAAAAAGCATAGCAGAGGGCGTAAAAGATGGTGCAAGAAACATTAGGATTAAGTACCGATCCTCAGATCTCTCCATCCCCTACACCCAATCACCTTCACCTTTTCTCCCGACCTCTCCGTCCCCGCCATACAAAATCACTCCTCAATTCCCGTTCACCTAAGGTCTCTTAAAGCCCCTTAAACACCAGTGCAAACATAGTATCCCAGCCACAAGTTACTGCAATCCGCACTGATCTGGGTGTTATACTTCCTGAACTGATCAAGGGTGATGCCAGCGCCCGAGTAGATGCTCCAGCAGCTGTCGCCGCTCTTGATTTGGTAATACTTCTTGCAGTTGCTCACGATGCCGGGCATCTGCGGGGTGGGAGTGGCGTGGACGCAGACGTAGTAATCGAGCCAGAGGTTGGAGCATTCTGGTACAAAGCAAGGTGGTTAGTTTGGGACTACTAAAGGACAGGAATCAGGGGAAGAAGAAAACGTACGGGCATTAATGTAGCTGTTATAGCTCAGGAACTGATCGGTAGTGATTCCGTACTTGGCAGCGATGGTGCCGCATTGGTCACCCGAAGCAATCTTGTGGTAACCGTCGCAGTTGGCGACGATGCC